TGTTTCTGTCTGATGATCTGAAGCAGTTCCTTGTAAAGCCAAAAGAATTTATTTATTTATTTATTAAGGTAACACACAATTTGGAAGAGAAAAAAGAAGCAGGCAGCTGATTTCATGTGGGACTTCAAATATGAAGTACATTGTTTTAATAACCAGATACTTGGAGCTTGATCAAGTTGATATTATTTATACATTATGATCTGATTAAATCTTTTAAGTTTAGAGAAAGTCTAGTGGTTGATTTCCCATAAGCATGTGAGGCTCCTACAAACAAACCAGGTGGTGGGAGTTCTTCCAAGGCTTCCTCACAGCAATATCCTTTGGGGAATGCAAACCTACCTGTAGGTAAGGTAAATATTCACAGCTCAAGGTTACAGTCAGACTCCAGTAATATATAACCATAAATATGATATTTGATATAAGCTTGAAGGTGTGTGTTACCTCCCTGATTTTGTTTATGTATGTGTCTGGTTTTACATTTGCATACTGCCTAGTCAAGTTTGATAGTGATGCAGTGTCGACTCTCCAAAGTTTGAATACCTCCCTAACTGCAATGAAATTTTCCACTTTCCAGCAGTCTGGTATCCCCCACAAAACTGCTATCAAATCTGTCTTGCTTCTAATTAGCTGTCATTCTGAATCACAACCTCAGCTTTTATGGAGATGAAGCCATCCTGCAGACAACACTGAGACTCAGAAATCACAAAACGTGGGCAACCAAGGTGAAGTGTGGAATTTAGTATTTCACATTACTGCCATCTCCTGTAACATAGGAATCAAAGACCAGAAACAAAATTCTGTGAGTGGACAGGTAATTCTAGACTACCAATAAGGTGCTGTGAACCAAACTAAACACTTGCACAGTGATTCATTAGTTAATTCAGAAATTTAAAATACATGGCATAACCAAACCAAAGCTTAGGTTCTATCTCTCCACTGTTTTCCAGATTAAACTCTGGCTTCCTTTTGGCATGTTCTGTAATTTATTCTTATACTAATCCTGTTAATTGTTTTTACATCTTGGGTATTTTCTCAGTCTGCATAGAGAGACATAAACTAAGGGAACACCAAAAGAAATTTTGAAAGAGACTGCAGGATATTTATTTATCCTGGTAACACCCAAAAGGACCTTTAAGGTGCATGGGCTCATTACACTGGACTTTAAGCAAATAAAAATGAGACAAGTTATTTCCTTAAAGGTTTGCAGTCTCAGACATCTGAGGGTTGGAATGACCTGAGAAGCCAACTCCCATTTCTCTTCAGTCTTAAAAAAATTTGGCAGCTGTCTACTTCTTGCTCTGTTCTCTAGAGATTCTAATCACAGAGAAATGCAGTGGATACTTCATTAAGGTATTTCCTCTTTTTACGCCATTTTCTGATCCTAACCTCTTTCTACGTCTGTCTTCACTGCGTAATAATCCTCATTCTCCTTTTGCCTATGTTTTCTCCTTTCTGGCACACAAAGCCCACTTTTATCCAGGCTACATCTTGCGGTATCTTTCTAATTCTCTTCTTAGTGCAGTTATTCTAATAAGAGTTTCACTGCGCTTCACAGAATGATCTGGTTCATGAGCTGAGTCCTATCTTCAGCTATAAATATTTTAATAGTGACCAGATAGTGACCAGTACACAGAAGGTCCCACAACAGGGGTGACAGGTTTCTGCTGTCTGGGAAATACTTCGTCTTTGAAAACCCCTGAGTTACAGCAAAAATTGTCAGATCAGGTAAAATGAAATAGCTCCTATGATGATAAACCTAAGTTCTGTGCTTGATTGTCTTTTAAAACAAGGGTTGAGTCATTTAGTCCAGCCTCAAAAAATTTCCTGCAATACTGGAACACCGCTACTCTATGGAAAGTTTACAGAGTTGTTATTTTCTTTGTCTTGTTCTAAATACATTGCAAAACAAAAATACTCCTCAAATCCCCCTCCTTCAGCCTGTTCTCCACAAAGCCAATTCACCTGAAGCATTTAAATTGCTATCAATAGGAAGCAATGATGATGTACTGCAAAATACTCAGGGACTATAACCAAGTAAGAGCTTCTTTTAGTGGGCACACGCAACTGAGAAACTGTAGTAGCAGCCCGTAATAATTGTCACTTCTGATCACCATGGGAACCAAACAGAGGTCTACTTTGCAGAAAACAGATCAGCAGTGACTCACTGACTGCTTGGGAAGCATGATTATTGAGAATTGCTAGACTTGTGTGGGTGACAGGGAATAGTGATGCTATTTCAACCATAGTCCCATACAGCAGAATTTGCTCTGCCAGACATGCAGAATGAAAACAAGTAAATTAGTACTTTGTGTTCATCAGAGACAAATTTCACCTTTAGGAGTTTCTTCAGCTTCAGCCTTGTGTGGACTCTTTGCTAGGAAAGGATTTAATTTCTAGTGAATGAAGTTCCAACTGAGATCACATTGGCTTTTACCAGGTCTTCTGCAACTCTTAGTGACAAGATTTAACCCTTGAGCAGCACAGAGGCTTAGAGTTGTCACATCATCTGAACTACACTAGGATGTGTACAGCACGTAAAAGACAGGCAGTATTTCTGTCTGGACTACCCAGAAACTGAGAAGCTGGGCCCTTACAATAAAGCTCCTACATTAAGTAGAAAGCAAAATAAACGCACTGTCTCATTAGCATAATTCAAAAGAGAAGCTGTCTTTGAGGTAAAATAGTTTGTATGAGACGAAAATTTGCAATATAAGGTATTTTTAGTATTTTTCAGCTGGTCACAAACTGTAGTTTCAGTCTTATGCTTTCCTACTCCAGAATTTTTCAACATTGACTAATTCAATCATAGTATTTCTGGACTGTCAAAGAATTTCAGATCAGAGATTCTGAGATTATAAAGCCCAAATCAACTCTGCTGGATTATTTCCACTGGCCCCTCAGTCTGGCTGGAGAAACAGTAACCACTGCAAGGAAAATGGTATTACAGCCCCAACATTTAAATGTTCATTTTTCACAAATGCTAATTCAAGATGTTTTGACAAAACCAAAGTATATTCCTTAATAATAACTGTCATTCAATGCCTCCTTGTGTTCTGTTCTCAGTTCTCCCCTTGAACTATCATTTGAGTGCCTAAATATTCTCCAAGGATGCTGTCACATGCACACCTGGCAGCTGGCATATAGGGTTTCTTTTATGATCCTTCTCCTAACAGAAATATCCACAGATTGTAAGTTTTGAAAGAGCAGATACACTCATTTCTCCATGAAATGACATGTGATTTTATTAACAAAGGCTGCTCACCACAGAGGACTTTTCATGAGCAGAAAATCAGCTCCCTAAGTGGGATTTGGCCAGGACAGAATACAACATCCTGTCACACAGTTTCTAGATTCATGGATCTTTGGGAAAACAAAAGACAAGTATCTGCAAATTGAAGACAAGGGCATGGCCCTAGCTCTTTAGTTTGATGGCACAGGCCTGCATAAATGAATGTATGTCTATTTTAGATGTTCCAGTCCATGATGCTGCACATTTGTCAGTTGGTCAGTAAACTTTTGAGATTAAATGATGCAGAGGAACAAAAATATTAAGAAACCGCTGTACCTCCCACACAGTCAGAGGATGAAAAGACCAATAATGCAAAGTGCTCCAAGCTTCTCTGTAGCTCTGTGCAGGAAAAACAAGCAATGATGTGAACCAAGGAAAGTACCCTTTGCAACTGTCCCACCACCAGCTGCGAGGAGCTGTTCATCTGCAATCACCTCTTTCCTCCCTCTGCCCACACATGGGGCTTCAGAAGTCAGCAGCAGAACAGGTAATGTTCTAGTTTAGCCCTGTCCACCTTTTTCATGATCGTTCCCAGCAAGTGAAGGATAGAAGTGGATAAACAAGGTTGATTACTGGCATCTTCTGATGGCTTTGTTAGCACAAGCTGAACACTGATGTAGCCTAGGACGACTGGTGCTTTTCCTGCTTTGGGAAAGACAATCAGGATCAGGTCAGGCATGGGTCTAATTGCCTTGTACTAAATAAATTTGTGCTATGCAAACCATTTTGGCCGTTTGTGGAACATGTGAAGTGGAAACTACACCCCCATGCTATAGTAAGCAAGTAGGAAAAAAGCCTGCATGTTTATCTCCCAGGGCATACTTGAGTCCTCACCAGCTTGGCTTGCGAGAACAAGACTCTGAAGATATAATCTACAGACTTTCATTCATATTGAGAGATATTTTAACACCACATCTTAATCTTCAAGCTTATTTCATCTTGGTTTCAGGTCGATGGTCAAGAATGAGATGCGTGTTTTTCTTCAGGAGCTTGAAGCCTGAAATCATTTATAATCCAAGTAGCAGATTTCTAGAGAATAGCAATAAATAATGTCACAAATAATTAAAAGAGGACAAGCAAGGAATACTTTTAAATATCTCTTTTTGCATGCCTCACATCAAACTACCACTATATAAAAGTGAAAGCTGCAAGTTACTGGAAATCAGTCAATGGTAGTTCATTGGTAGTACTAGGTATCAGTTAAAAGAGCAGGAATTCACAGCAGCCTAATTCTTTAGGTCCAAATTTTCTGGTTTTCTCTTTTCTTTTAATTTTAACAATGGTCATGAATGTACAGTAATATATTAACATTGTGCAGATTGGAACTTTTTGTTTGTTTGTTTATTTGATTATTTAAAGTGTATGGTGTATCAAGTCCCATTAAAATTAGTTTGACTAAAGAATAATGCAAAAGGCTTTAATAGTTTAAATACTCATTCAGCCATATGTAAATGTACAATCTATGTGTTCTATGTGAAACTTACAATTGCTGTTAATGAATTTTAAAACCTGAACAATTTGCTAAAGTAGTAATAACACTCATTCTGTTTCAATTTGCCATACTGGAAATGCTTACAGATGAAACAGGAATACAAAACTCTAATAGTGATCAAAAATCCTCTACAGCTTAGGAGGATGCAGCACTGGAGTTTAGTCCCTCTATCTCTGAAAATACTATCACTTCATCCTTATGAAAGGACATATTATTACATGGAATGGAACACATGATAGTTTATTTTGTTAGTAATTTTTTACATGTAATGCTTTATAAAAGAGCCATAGCTAAAGTAAAATATAAACAGATATGTAAATAATACAATGAAGTATATCATTCTTATTCAAATCAATTTCCTTGAGCAACATCTTTTTACAAGGTGAAAATTAAACACTAATATTTGTCTCATGGTATAAAAGGGACAGTAATAATTATAAAGAACCTTATGGTCTTAAGCTTATTTCATCCTATTCTTAATATTTCACAGCAAAAATATTAAAATTTGCAGTATTCCCAAAAAGATGCAAACTTGTCAAATATATTACTCTGAAGAAAAAGAACAATTAATTTACAGGAACCTATCATAGAAACTATTGAGTGGACAGTGGTGATAGTTTTCTATATAAAATCTATCAAACTCGTAGGAGGAAATATACGAAGCGTAGCTGATAGCTGATGGAATCTGCAATATGGCCACAGAGAAATAAGTTGCAGATCATCAAAGTTAGCTCTTGTGCAGAAACATCCACCATGAGTTCACTAATTTCATCTTTCACTGGAGAACAGCAGGAGATTTCCATAATGCAACTATCATAGGAAACAGATTGGACGCTCTACTTTAAGCTTTACCCGTAGTTGGAATTTGCAACAGTTTGGATTTTTTGGTGCTCTGATCTCTCTTGCCCTCCGGAAGGCTGTGTAAATATCAAAATCTTCAGCACAAAGACAGTTCCCTCCAAAGCACTGGCAACTGGTCTTAGTAGACTGTTCAAAGGAAAAAAAAGAACAGATTTAGGTAGACTGGTAAAGCAATAGTGGAAAAGCAATACAGGAATGTTCTATACATAAACCAGAGAATTAGGTCATCACTAGAAGCTGAGAGATTTGTAATCCATGAACTGCAGACACACAGGCACATAAACTTGTGGAGCTCAGAGGACCCTTTGCAGATTTGAAGCTGCTCTTCTGTGTAAGACTTGAGTCAGCAGCTAAGCTCTGATCTTGCATGAATGAAGGCAAAGCACACTTTCAGCTATTTTAAATAGCAAAAAAAAAAAAAAGTCAAGTGATTGATTCTATCCAGCCTCAGGCATTCAACTAAAGCACCTAGACAAGGACCTAAGTAACTCAGACTCTGTTCATAAACCACAGATGGAAAGCTGCAATCTCAAGATGGTGCTTGAGCCTTGGCCTGGTCAAGGGTGATGGTGTTTCTAGCTTAGACATCTCAGCCAGGTTACTGAAATTAGCTGTGAAGACCACCTGAAGTTCTCCCTGTTTAAGACTGCTCTTAGAAAATTCTGGGGCTTTAACCACTCATATAATAAGGACACTTATTATATGTGTTCTGCTCTACAAGGCCTGCATCCAGCACCAAGACCAGTCAAAACTGTTTCTGACTTTTCACCTAAATTAGGAAAGGGCTCTGCTTCTTATGGAAATTGCTGGCAGCTTTATAATTTTCAGTTCCCCACTGCCTAGACATCAAAACAGTTCCCCATCAAAATTTGTCAATGCTTATTTAGTTCAAGTACTGAATGGAAACTTTGTTTTTATTTTTTCTGCAGATATGAACTTATAAAGCATTTTTTTTAAACTTAGTTAGTCAAAATTCTTCACTTCAAGAATAGAGCATATAAAGCTTCAATGTCCTATTATAGCTGGTGGAAAATGAAGCTCCCACGGATCCTCCCATAGCAAGGGGAAAGCTCCAATACATTATTTAGTGGGTGACACACCATGGTCCTCAAGGTCCTTTCAAAAACGGAGATGTTTTCTAACTGCAAAATCCTCATTCCTGGAAAAATCTTTGTCTTTGCAGATCCTGATCTAAGCACTGCTGATGTACCTCACCTCTCATGGGAGGTCTGAGTACCACTAAGGACATTTGATTTTTATTTGCTCCCAAATGAAATAATACAGAGATTCTTTGCTTCTCAATTCTCACCACAAAGACGACTTTAGCACTATCTAATTTATATCTGCACCCACTGAGAACTGGTCCCTGGTCCAGCCTTTAGATGTTATGATGCAGCTGGAGATGTAACTTGGTGGTTCCCTGACCAACTTAGAGCATCACAGGGAGCATTGCTACCTTGTTCTGTTCAACAAATGCATGGCAAGCACATAATGTTAATCAAAACATACTGTACCTCGGGCTGTTTGCATCTTGATGTCTTTATTTCCTTCTAATCTTAATTAGAAAACAAAAGACAGAGATGGTTAAATCTTAAAAAAAAAACCCAAAAACATGACTAAGTTAGTACTGTTCCAAAACCAGCTACTTTTATTTTGGTTGAAAGTGTTACTGTTTCTCATTTTCTTGTTTTGCAGCAAATTTTGGAAGCACCAGTCAGTGACTAAATTCTGTGCTTGTACATATGTGACAGCAGCATTTTTTGTGTTAAATCAAAAGAACATTACATTATTTTGTAATTACATGTTTGTGACTTGTCAATTAAATAGCTATAAATCTAATGCTTTTCCCCACTGCTCAAAAATATAACATGGAAAAGAAACAGTTTCTGCTGGGTTTCATTTAAGAACAGAAATAAACCTGAAAGCAAGCACTTACTGTTATTACTGGAATTCACCACAATGCAAGTAAATACCTTCAAAACTAAAAATAGCACCAGGGCCCTGCAAGTGCATCTATCACAGCCTCTTAGTCTTAACAGGGTTTTGTTTTCTTTCAATTCACAGAGCACTCAGGGAGTGGAGAAGATGTTCAGAAGACCACGTACCTACACTGTCAGTATCTGCTCTAGGATCCTTCTGCAAAAGCGTGTTAAATTTTAAATAAATGGGAACAATCCCTTTGACAAGTGTAAATAACCCCACAGCCTTAAGAGGCTTCAAGGCTAGCCAGTCTGTCTGAAATAATAATTGATTTTTAAAGGACGTACATCCTACTAGATGAAATGATCCCCGGAAAGCAGGAGAAGATAAATCCACAACTTGCCAGTACCTTTGGGTGCAGCTTTCGTCTGACTGGGAGCCATGGCAGCCGCGTCCGACGGCAGCCCCACGTACACCCCGCCGTAGTTCCTGGTGGAGAAACAATTACAGGCACATCAGAGCTCAGCTGGGACTCTTCTCCTTGAAGGAGCTGGTTTTTTCACTCAAGTTCCTGATGTTTATCATGAGATCCCAGCTGTCTTGTGACAATAATAAACCCCACCTGCCCAGCTTCTTCTGAGTACATCCAGCTTGAGGACAGAGCTAATCTGACACTGATGTTTGACCAAAGCACCACACTTCAAACAGTGCACACCAATTAAATAGCACTTTGACCTCATTAATAAATGCAACCTGCCTGCCCCTGTTTAGGGTCACACTTGGAGAAAACTGATAGCAAAAGGGAGCACAAGTGTCTTTAGGTACTTTCACACCCAACCCTCTCCCCTTCATGGACTTGCAGAGGATACTTGCCGGCTCCAAAGAGCCCATATGAAATGCAGGGACAGATGAAGGGAGGTAAAAAAACTGGGTCCTTTAGTCTCTACTGTGCCTGGAGATACCTGCAGAGACTCCCTTTACACTGCTCTGCCCTGTTAGGTGAAATAATCATACCTCCTCCAGCTCCTGGGGTTCTGAGCCAATTTGTAATTTGCTTGATGACAGACTCACACTTCCTTCAGCCTCCAGCCCAGCAGAGATCTCCCAGAAGCGCTAATGGCACCTCCTGTGGCAGTGCTGCTGCGAAGGCAGAGGCCACCAGCCCTTAGCGAGCACACCACCTACAGCTGCGAGATAATGTGCTCTTTCTGCCACAAAGTTCCCACCTCCCCAGCTCAATAACAGCCTGGGTGGACTCATCAATACCCGACTCTGTGTGAGATTTCCTCCTCTCTTTTCGTTTCTCCTCTGCTTTGCTGGTGTTGCTGGGAGTTAGGAGGAGGGAAGGAAGGATGCAGAACTGGCGGCAGACCTCACTGCAGCCCATTGCAAATAAAACTAACCCTGGCTGAGCAGAGCACCTACCTCCTTTTGTCATCATCGGATATGGATTCTTCTGCTCTGCAACATCAAAAGATACAAAGCATGTTAGCAGATTGTTTCTTTCAGGTGCTCCATGACCATCTGGTAAATTCAGAAGCAAGGGAAGAAGTATTACTGACCCCAGTTTAATTCAGGACATCCACCATTCAACAAAGTACTCACACAGGTATAAAAAAAGGACAGATTTCCAATATAAGGTACAGAAGAAATAAAGGATTGAGAAAAGATGCAGCTTACTTTTTATGACCCCCACCAGTGAGATCTGAAAGTAGATTTGGGAGCAGAAACACATGAATTAACACTATTCCTGAGTGAGTCCCCACACTACCCCCAAATAAAAGGAACATTAAGGCTCTGCATGTACACAAGCCTGCACTGCTCTTCCCCTAAAAGAGGAAAGAATGGGGATGAAGAGAGAGAAACTTTCACAGCCAGCACAGACACCCAGAAGCCAGAAGCTGTCACAGGGCCTCTCTATAAAATGAGGCTCTGCAATTCCTGAATTCAATTGTTTGCAAACCAAATGCTGTTATTAATCCCATATAAATGGGCAATTACTTCTCCTTTAACTTTAGGGTAAAATCACAGGTCAGTCCGTAAATCAATAGAGTCGCTGAGGTTAGAGTCCTCCCAGTTATGCAGTGCTCTGTGTAGCTGAATGGGAGCACGGGTTAAAGTAACCAGCACTGATGGGAAGGGAAATGTAATACAAAACAATTAAAGAATTTATTCTTAAAACAATTAAAGAATTTATTCTTACTCCTTCAGTGTGCAGTGCCTGTGCTGCAGTCTCAGTCTGCATCCCAACATCAGTCATTACACAAATCACTTGCCCATCTTTGAATAAATATTCGGATTCTGAGCTCTACTTCCATGACTGGGTATGGATGGGGAAGCAGCTGCACTTTAGCTGGGTCTGCAACCAATTTATTTATTCTAAAAGGTTGATGTCCCTACTGTTTAATTGTTTGGGCTCTATGCCCTTACAGAGCCCTGAAGTCAATGGGATTTTGCCCTGAAGAGCAGAGGGCTGATAGCAAGATGCAGTCTTAAGTGCAAGAAGATGTCCCTAAAACTCCTGGGAGGGCAGAAAATGCCTTAAAAAGACTGCTACAGCCTGGAAATTTTCTGACACCTGCCTTATTCCTAAGGGGCAGAACATTACCAACTATCCTTTCTGCATCACCATAGAGTAAGGGTACACAGGTCCTTTTAATAGTTGAGACTTGGAGTAAATCTTATTATTCTGCAATTTTGTTGAATTATATTTATGCAGGGCATAGCACTCCTTGTCTGCTGTCTTTGTCTATGTCTTACCACTCAAGAAAGACTGATCAATAAATAAAACTCTTTATTCCCTGTCCCTCCTGCCATCCCTTCCTGGAGGAATTAGAGACATTTCAGAAGGCATTTCCCACCTCCTGTGACCCCGTGTAGTCACCTAAGTCATCTTACAGTCCTCACACACACAGCCAGAGAATGCAGAGACATTTTTTTCTTGAGGACTGTGAAGCTGCTCTGTCCTAGTGAGGGCCAGTTTCTCCTGAAGAAACTGGAAAGCCTGTGTATATTAGTGGGTGGAAATGAGGATGAATTTTTAGGGAAAAAAAAAATCTACTTTAAGAAAGGGACTTAGGGTTCCAAAAGATCACAAGCAGTCATTTCTGTTGAACCAACCAAATGTGTCACAGGATTGATTTTCTCATACAATTGAGAACATTTTCTATAATCCAGATTAACCATTGTCCAGAGAAAAGAGTCCTTTAAAAGCACCAACAACTTCATGCGCAGCTTGAAGCCTCTGAAATGGAGTTGTAAGAATAATAATCAATATTGTCCAACAGGAAATTAATGTCAAGGGTTTTTGTTTTGTTTTGGTTTGGTTTTTTTAATTCTGGTAGGAAACAGGGCCATTTTCTTCTGTTACAGAAATGTTTTGTAATATGGCATCACAGACCATTACTGTAATTCTCTCACTAAAACAAATTATCCAGGTCTATGATTAAGCAGACAAGAGGGTTTGTAAACATTTCACTTTCTTCCTTTCCTCTTACTAGCTATAAATCAAAGTAGTAATTTTGCAATGCCTTTTTATTCAAATGGATGATAGCAAAAATAATCTGGGATTGTACAGATGACAACTCTTGGCTGGGCAATCATTGGGGGCAAATTTGTAATTTGCTTTTTTTTTGTACCCCTGCCAGAAAAGAGGGAGTGAGCAGAGACAGGAGTAACATGGAACTGTGAGAAGGAAAAGAAAGAAAAATTTGGGTGATGGCACTCAAGGAATAAGCTATTTTACACACCTTTCTGGGGGCTCAGGAAAGAATGCTGCCCCAGTTTATTTACTACACATATTCACACACCTCTTGCCTTCACACATGATGGCTCGAGACCCCCTTTTGCAAGGTGCCCACTAATTTTGCATGTTTAGTGTCTGCTGAGCCACTGAGACAGGTGCTGCTTCTTTGCCCAGGCTGGGTGAACACAGGTGGCTCCAGGGAGCAAAGCCACAACAGCAACGCTCAACCACGTGGGAGTGAGACTGGAGAGAAGCTCCTTTGGTTTCGGCAGTGCTCCCATTGCCACATCTCCTGGGCTCACAGACACAGGAGGAGTCCAGCAGTCCTCCAGGGACAGCAAGCCAGGATAAGGTTTTCTGCAGCAGGGATAGACAACAAAAGGAACCTGACAGTCCAAGGAGCTCCATGCTGACCGGCTGCTGTGTCACTGCCTCAGATGCTGTTGACATCCGCAGAAGAACCGAGAGCACGGTTTTCAGCAGGTAGCATGGGCAGAGTCCTGGAGCCAGTGGGCAGCTTTAACAGCAAATCCACAAAATGGCATTCTATTTAGAGCTGAATAAATGTTTCTTTTGGTAAGGTTTCGTTTGTCCCAAGAGTCTTCCTGTCACCCAAAGTCTGAAAAACACACTTTGTTCATCTGTCAGCTTTTACATCCATCAGTCCTATGTCCATTTGATGGTAAAAGAAGCTGCCATTTCTCACATATTTTAAATGTCAAGATGACAGGCATTCACACTAATTCTTTCCATCCACATTTTTCTTATCTCAGCTTTTATGGCTCTGTTTGTGCCGAGCATTATATTTCTAGCTGTGCTCAGTAGCCCAGAAATGATTCACTGAACTTCGAACAAGTGACAGACAACTACTCCTCAGATTCTTGGTGTTTCTTGTATTTCCTGCACAAGCATTTCGTCTCAATATTCTGAAACAGGCTCAAACTGTTGTGTCCTTTCCTTCCTACTGTAACTAATCCTCCCCCAGACTTAGCCACACACTGAATACTGCAGGCATTGCATTACTTTCTAGCATATCCTTTACTTCTTCTACAGTTAGGTTTCCCAATTAGCAGTGATGAATGTTTCTTTATTAGTGGGGCAGGAGCATGGCTGCTGGCTGGCAGATTCTGGGCTGAAGCACAGAGGGCAGACACGTTCTCAGAGCATGTGTCCTTGTCACCACACAGTGCTCAGAGAGGAAAAACCCTTTCAAAGGAAGATCATATCATCACCCCTATCTTATTGGTGGAGAAACTCCAGGCCCAGAGGGCAAAGCAGCTTCCCCACAGTCACCCAGGAGGGCTCAGGGCAGGATCCATCCCTCTCCCCTTCCATCTGGCTGCTCACTCCAGGAGACATGGTACTTTGCAACGAGTCACAGTCAAAAAATGATAAACCACAAGTTAGAATAATAAGATTTGGCATCCAAAAGGATGTAAGGATGGACACACCTGCATTCTTTTCTGGATCAGAACTGATATGACTGAAATTTGATAGCAAAAGAAAAAAAAAAAGAGGGTAATTTAAAGAGAGGATTTAGCTGATGAAAGTAAAAAGGTGTAAAAAGCTTTTGTGAATCTATAGTATTAGTTAATATTAATCTGCTTTGTTCATTTCTATAAACAATGAAAGTAATTTTTCTGATAGCTGACTTCCTTCATAAAAATCTTCTGTTAAGCATGAGAATGCCTGATTAGGGCTTTTGGGGCATCACTGCCATTCCTCATTAGTAGGTGTGTGTTTCTAACATCTGTTGAGAAGGTTCAACCATGCTATTACTCACATGGGTGGTTTGGCTGGCTCCACTATCCTTAATCTGAATGAGTAATAGCTCCAGGATTGACCCTTTCACTTTGTTGAAGACTGCACTCTAGTAATTAATTTTTTTCTAAGTTATCTCAATACTATTTTGAAACACGACAGATGAACTCACACTGATAAGTAGGATGCTCCCATTTTAACTCCTGCAGCCAGGCTCTAAAAATGCTTACACACAGTTAAACACAATTCTGTACATAGACACAGTTCTATACATCCCCATATCTTTAAGCACAGGAACATGCCTACAACATTCATAATTCAACAGTGCATGTGATTTTGAAATTTAAAATTATTAATGAGCAAAAAGAAAGATGCATTTCTAAGTCAGTTCTTAAATCATCTAAACTGAACAATAAATAAGGCCCTGCCGTAAATTAATCCAGTGGGTTTGTAAATACAGAAGTACTGAGGGCAGTGATGCTGCAGGCTGCACCAAGAAGAGGTTCCTTATAAGATTGTCTTTTGTAATTTATTTATTGTCGGGCACTGCAAGACCAAAAAAGGTAACACAGATCTCAAGAGTATCTGTGGCAACAGTGCTGATCAGCCAAGTGACACCTGTTGTTAGTTCTCCTGTCCTAGCTCTGTAATAGCAAGGACAAGCCTGTTGTTAAGCTCTTCCCTCCACTTGTTTATCTGACTTGACTGCCCTCATTTCTACACCAGGATTCCTCCATTTAATTAGAGGAGTTATTGTAAGTGAAGTAAATAAAACTGAAGGATGTTCCTGTTGCATAACATGACAATCTTTCCCAGGTCCCTCAGTCACAAAGTCTAGTGGCAAATACCAGTCACATGAAATAGGAGAAGGCAAGACCTTGTGAGGAATTCTTTATGGTTTTCTTTGCTAGAAAAATACATTTATGGCTGAATAAAGCTGTTGCTGTGCATTCCTGTATCAGCAATAAGAATAGTCCTATGAAAGACCTTGCACATTTAGAGAAAAACAGGATGGGTAGGACTGCCCTCTGCTACCCTGTGTCAAACAAATAGATACTATCTTTAATGCAGAGAACACCTAGAGAAGGTGGGCACTTTGAAAAGGAAGCTGGACGGATTAGTGGGTCTCATGCAAAGAGGGGGAATTTGTCTCAGTAGCTTTCTAAATCTTTCACTGGGCCTGGTGGAAATTTATGTGCTGGCTTCATACTATTACATGGCTTCTGGAAAAAGGTGCACGGGCACATGGGAAAGAGCAGTCTGAAGTAACATAACCAGCTCTGCTAGACAACTGTCTCAACAGAAGCAGAAAAAATAATTCTGTTAGAGAAACAACAAGCAAAGAAGTCTGTAGAAAAGTAAACAAGACAAGGAGTTGTTTTGTGGAGATGGAAGCTGTCACTAAAGGCAGTAAACATCTGATTGTGTTGATTATATGTTAGGAGCCAGATGAATCATGTATGACTAAATCTAGTATAAGGCTAGTATGACTGAAAATATGTCCAGGGTTATATATTTTAAAAAGTAGAGTAGAGTAAGTACTTACACATCTTTAGTAGTCCCTGTAGCACCTAGGGGAAAAAAAAACAAAAAAAACATGTTTACCAGGTAATGACATAATCCTCTAAATCAACCAACAGTGCAGTAATTGTTTTTCTGCCTTTCTGTCCTAAACAGCATAGAAATAGCAACAAAAATTTGCTACTGTAAGAAAACACATTTCTCATGATTGTTCAGTTTATGCTTAATGACTATCCACAAAATCCCTTAAATCTATCACATCTGGGCCAGACTCTCAGTGTGTGAAAATTATGCTGCTGTGGACCAGTGCCCAAGTGCAGTCACTCAAGATGGGAGCAACATAAGAAAAAAAAAATCTTTCTGAATTTCATATTTCATATTTCATTTGCTCAGAACTCTGGTGGTTTTGTCTGCCACAAAGCTGGCACAACTAACCAGAGGCAGTTACTCCCAAATGCCTGATTATTCTGCCATTTGATGCAGTTGTACAGGTGGCACCACATGTGTGAAATGCTACGTCGTTCTTCCTGCCAGATAAACAAAGTTTTATAAAATGACTAGACAGAACTAATATAAACATTGGGACGCAACCCATCCAAAGCCCCACCTAAGGAGATCAACCACCCCTTAATTCATCTTGCTATTTAACAAAAAACCAAAGAGCCAAAAGCTGCCACCTGGCTGCCTTGTATAAGTGGCTGACTTTTTTGTTTTGGTGACTTGGATATTTCTTGCTGGGAGACAAATATTTACCCAAGTACAAACTCTTTCTTGTTCCTCCCAAGTTACTCATGTTATGTTGCTCTTGCTAGTATATAATTCATCTGAGTAACCAGTAAATTATCCCTTCTATTAATTACAGAAGTTAGGGCAGACATTAGAAAAACCTTTCCCTTCTCCTTTCCTCTTAGCACTTAGCTGGAAAAGGTGATCAGAGCTCCCTCTGAAGAAACGGAAGTAGCCAATCCCAGAGATTTTTTTGAGTTTGGAGATAGGTTGTGGTTTTTTCTTCCATAGTATTTCATTTTTTTGGAAAACTTTTATCTCTTCTGCTGCCAAAAAAAATATATATAAATAGCAAATACCTTTCATCTCTCTTTGATATGTAAGAATATGCCTTTTGCATTCTTATTTTAAACAAGAGGAAGAAATAGACATGCAAGGCTTTCTCGCTCTGTCTACCTGAATTGATTGCTTGAATGGCAGAAAACATTACCTTTTACAGCTAATTCCTGAATATAATGTCATTCCCATTTCCTATAACTTGACTATCCCTCCTTTTCCCAGCAGCAACACAGACTAGACTCATGAGATTGTACACATTTCTTCTGTTAGTCTTGCTTCCAGAGTCAGCAAAATCTCAGTATGGCTACAGAAAAGCCTTAAGTAAGTTGGAGGGAGTATCTCTGCTCACAATAAGCTCAGGCCCTTCCTTTAAAACCTTACTCCACCAGGCAGCCCTGAGACTTTGAGGGCACATCTGTGAGGCACAGCATGTGAACCTCTCAGATTAATTGTGTCCAGGTGGAAGGCTGGCACTGCTGTGCAAGCCCAGTCTCTGCTGATGTGGGGAGACATCTGCCACCAAGGCCAGTTCATCCAGTCAGCTCAGCAATGAGCCTTCAGGGCACCCCCTTGTACCCCCAGACAGAGCCCAGGCATCGGCAACATTTCAGAAAACATGTGTTATGAAAAGCCTAGCTGGAGCTAGCAGGATTTTTAATTTTATTCCAGAAGAAAATTATTCCTTTGCTGTGCCTGTTCTGCACGAGGGCCATGACTTTATTTTTTAGTCTAAACTCCCTGCAATCAAAATCAGTTTCTCTAAAAAGGTTTATGGCCCTTTTTGAGGCCTTTGCCAAGACTCTTCTAAGAACCTTGGATGCCCATCTGAAAAATGTGTCTTGCTTGCAGGAAGTACAGCAAAAGTACAGTGTTTAATACACAAACTGAAACCTCAAGCCAAGGGAGAAGAATTGTGTGCCTACAGCACTGCTGCACTCCCCAGAGGTGACAATCAAGTTCCAGTCAATCACTGGGTGCACTTCAGTGCCATATCCATGTTCAGTGCCATGCCTGTCTTCAATGCATTATGGTACATCCTCACTCAGGAGATGGGAGATGCCACTCAAACCCATCAGCCCGGGCTTTGTGTAGAGCTATAAAAACCCGTGTTTGGAAATATGCCACTAACATTCACACATGGCAGCATTTGTTTCCTTGGAATATTAGCAAGGGTACACTGCTGAAAAATCACTGCGTGTGAAATGTGTTTTGAAATGCATTTCACACAAAAACTTTGAGAACTGAGTATGATAAAAACAAATTCACTTTTTAAGAGATCAGTTTTACTCTTACAATAAATTTAAAAATACATATAAAAATTACATATAAAAATAAATACATTGTTTTCTACTTTTTTTATAAGCACAGCAGAACAGTTTATCCTCATTTTCATTGATGGGATTCCATTAATTTCAGTGGGGTTATTTCTCATTTTCACTAGCAAAAGTGAAACAAATGTTTGGTTCAAATACACTCAAGTACCACTAAGGTACCTGACAATAGATCTATGTCTCCAGTTAACAAAGGAATTTTCTTCCTTCAAGAGTTCTGAGCTTGCAAATGAACATCACTTTTGCTAGGTGCACTATAAAAAAATCTCTGTGTAAAAACTTCAAAGTTTTTGTTCATTAGGGAGCCTGAATTTCCTTACACTAGATATTATTTCCCAAGGAACCAAAAACATCTCAGTTCATACAGACATGTTTATTTGTAAAGTCCAATCCATTCACCCTCACCCTGTTACTTAACTGACATATTTGTCTAACTCTTGCAAGTTTAGTGAACAACACAATTTTATTGCTGCTGAAGCTCCTTCTGCCAGAAATTCAGCCAAAGAATATTGTTTACTACTGATCCACACTCTACAGCTCGCTCCATAGCAGCAAGGCTTAGTGCTCTCATAGATATGATGGTTTCCAGAAATGACTTGAGAAAAGGCTCACATACATAAAGCTTGTCCATTTTTTCCACTGTAAGAGCTTGGCCTAAAAAAAGGCAGCACTTGGCCCTACAAGCCTTGCCTTGATAGGCTCTTGTTTACTTGGTTTTTTTAACCTAACCTCAGCAAGACATTAAAGAGTAGCTATGAAGCCACATCCATAAAAAATAGGCAATACTGAATTGTCCTGAATGACCTCTCTGCTCACACCATTTACACAGTAGGACCATGGGTGCATTTTGGCATTTTAGAGTTGCAGAAGGAGAAGAATGAGTACAGCCTGCAAATAAACATGTCCCATTCAGCCACACATTGCTCTGAGCCCCAGTGATTACAGAAGAAAAACATTCTGTCTAGAGCACTAGAGCTGTGATCCCTCAAAAACCCCACAGCATTTTAACAGTGACAAGTCAAAAAGAAGAAGGATTTATTCCAAAGCATCATCCAACATCCACTAGGTGAGATGGGGTTTTGTTCTTTCAGAACAACAGCAGGATTTCCGTAAATGCAGGCCTAATGCAAAAGATGGTTGAGAGACATTGATAGCCACTGATGATATTCCTCTGTGCTGAGAAATGCATCAGGAGTGAAAGTGAGAGGCAAAAGCTTCAGAAAAACATAAAAAGCATGTGAGGCAACCACTCACATGAACAAAATGGATTAAAAAAAAATGCCAGGACTTGACTTTTGAGCAGATTATTAAACTTTTTCCTAATATTTTTAATGAACAATGGCCTATGACATTTTCTTGCACATCAAATTGTTACAAAAAGCAAATAAACCCCCCCCCCCAAAATTAAACACACATTTTGTTAAGAATGAGTTTTCTACTGCAGGCTCCTTTCTGATGTGCTCCAACAGTCAGCAGGAAGGAAACACGTTCTAACATCAATGAATTTATTCTATTTATACCTCCATTGTAACTGAGGATAGAATATCATCAATTTGTTTCATATTGATTATTTCTTCAGCTCATCAAGTGGGAGTTCCATACAGAGATTAAACCCAATAAATAGAATGGCACGATGACTTCCTGGGCATTGCACCAAACCTGAAGTTAATAAATCTGTTAAAACTTGGTGTGAAAGTTCTTCATCATAACTTGACTGTACTTGAAGCTTTCCACAGACTAACAGCTTCTCTATATATTTAAACTAAGGCTAGACTGACAGCCTCCAAAAAGTATAATAATTTAAGGTGCTGTCATCGCTACAATAATAGATACAGAAAGGAGGAGGTAGTTAAAAATTTTTAATGAAGAATCATTAGAATGAAGGGAAATGCCTTGACTCAGGCAAAAAAAAAGCAAATTAATGTTTAAGAGTATACTTTTAAAAGACACCAAATAAAAAGGAGAAGAGCTATTTTTGAGCTTCTAGAACTCTAGGAAATAACATGAAAGAAGGATATGTAAAACGAGACCACAAAACATAAGGAAAACAGAAGCTGAGAAAAACAAGTAACTATAGTTAATACATAAAATAGCTAGGTAATTTAAGAAGGATGCATACACATGAGTTTACTTGGGTAACTGAAGTTGCCATTTCTCAATTGGAGAGCTTTTTGCCACTATCTGATACTCTGGAAAGAACATTTGAATGCTGTGAATTACATTGGTGTTCTGGAGTACTGCACCACAGACTGAAATGTTATTCTAGATCATGTCTATTAGTTTAGATCTCACAGACCATAGAGCTGAAAGCTCTGATGTCATTCCAGCCATGCAACAGAAGATAATATAATTAGCTGAACTATCACCATATATACATCTGCTTAGGAAAAATTAAATTAGGCTACAACAGGAATTATACCAGAGTAAGAAAATGGGAATTGGCATAACACATTTAATGTGTTCCGTGAAGTATGCTACAATATTATACTTAGTCATATGGTATGACAGAGAGTGTTACAGGTTAATTACATGTTATGCACCTCTAGCTTTGACATTACTGACTACAGAATAGTCATAACTTTAGCATTAAAAATGTAGTCATGCTGTGCATGCCACAGAATTTATTTGTATTTACATAGTCTTCACATCTTTTGGTAAAATTATGACTTGCATTTTCCTGAAAAGCTCAAGGATTTCAAATAAAAATGGTAAGGCTTTTCTTTACCCTTTATAAAATAGTTTTATTTTTATTAGACACACTTTGTAAGGAATGTTAAATGAAGTAAATAAATAGTAGACATCTGACATCTTGCTTTTATTACCAGCTGTTTGTTATTTTAAGACCCTAGACTGCACAGAGTAATTCCTGACTGACAGTGGTGAAAGTGAGAAGTGAACTGGACTTTTCAGAGCTGCATTGGATTTGGAGAGGTCTGTCAGTGCAACAGTAATAATTCCATTATATTAATGATAGGTTTTATGTGGCATTGTTGGGTTTTACCTGCACTAAACCCTTAGAGATCTGTGGAATATTTCCAAAAAGTATGCAAAAGTTTACCAAAAACTGCAAGTTCAAATATTTTTTGTATAACATATAAGTAAGTTTAACTATCAAAGAAGTCAGACCATCAGTGAAAATAATTAATGTATGTACAAGCCAAAACCTGTTCAAGACAACTACCTCTAATGCAAAGGGACACATCTAAACAAACTTTGAGTTCAAAATAATACTGCTGTCAGAGTTAGTCTATTTGACATTTACCCATTTGTACCCTGGTACAGGTTCCACAGGGCAGTCAAATCAACATTAACTTAGAAACTACCACAAATGGACCAATAATCAACTCAACATTCTCATCTGAACCTCTCTGGTGCTTTTATCCAGCAAACAAAAACAAGATGTGAACAAGCATCACCTCAGTGGTATGAAGCTAGACTGGTCACATACAGAAGGAACTTCCAGTCACAGCAATGTGGGAATCAACTGAAGGGAGAGAATTCTCTGTGCAAACGGAACAGCTCTAATAAGAGCACTGAATGTTCAAGTAAATTCATACAGAGCATGTTCTTTATGGGTGACAGAGGTCTCTGATGGATAGACACAGTACCTAAATCCTAAGTTATCATCATTTAACAGAAACCAAGTAGGGAATTGCAGAACCACATTCTCCTCCGAGTCTGTAGTGCAGAGCTCAAGAGGTAAACCAGCATCACACCCCACAAGCATTCACACATATGTACACCCTAGAAAAGGCAGCATCACTCACTCACAGGCAGGACCAAGTCAGGACTAGCACCACCCACAGCACCACTGAAACTCTGGTTAAATCAAATCAAATCAAATCAAAACAGTAAGAGATGGGGATCCAGTAATTATAAATTGTCCAACCGTTATTTTGCATATTTTCAAGAGCTGAAAGCTCACAAGTGCATCTGAAGGACTTGATAAAGGTACTGGAACAGGTGGCAATGTTTGCCAAGTGCAGCTAGGATGAAAAATGATTGAGAAATGCTCATATTGTAACTACAGGGTGAAGGTCTACTTATCAGTTTCCATGTACTTTCCTATTCTGCGGGGGCAGGGGGGAGGAAGAGCACAACAGCACCATCTTCCCAGATCTTATCTCTTTTGAAAATAGCAATGAACAAATAAGGGAGCCAGCTGGACGCACCAGCCAGCGGTACACATTAACATGCATGAAACCTCAACCGTGGAATATCCTCCAACTTCTTCAACAAACAAAAGGCAAAGATGTGGCAGAAATTCATTTCAGAAGTGGCATTCGTGGCCTTATAGGGAAGCGAAGAGGATGGAGCTGACACCCCCGGCGGGATCCTTAGGTCCAGCTCCCGGCCTGGGCTCGCCGTGCCCTGGGCAGCTCCTGTCGGAGGTGGCGATTCCAGCGACAAGCGGGCACCAGAAAGCCGCCGGTGCCCGCGGCAGGCCACATCACCCTCTCTCCCCTGAGCAAGCGGATCAGACTGGGAAAGGAAGATGCTCTTGCAAGAGGGCGGGCAGCGATTCCCGCGGCTCGGACGGGCATCCCCCGAGCCGGGGGCTGCATCCCGCCGGCTGCGGCTGCGTGCCCGCCGCCGCCCCCGCAGTCCCGCAGGGCTGCCCAGCACGGAGGGGATGCTCGCCCCGCCGCTCGCCCAGCCCGGCCCGGCCCGGCCCGGCCCGGCCCGCCGCCCTACCTCGCCCGCCCGCGCCGCCGGCCGTGGAGTTGCCGCAGCCCATGGGCGCTGCCCGGGCCGCCGGTGCGCTGCGGTCACGGGAGACAGCCGGCGGCGGGCGGAGCCGGGTGGGAGATAAAGCCGCGGGGACCCCTCCTCCTCCTCTTCCTCCTCCTCCTCCTCTCCCCACCCATCGCCCGGGAAACCGCCGGCCCCGAGCGCCGCCGCCCGGCCCCGGCCCCGGCCCCGCACCGCACCGCACCCCCCGCTCGTCCCCGGGGAGCGCCGCACCCCGGGCTGCCCCCTCGCCCGCACGGGGGTATGGCTCAGCCCAGGCTCAGGCCGGCAGGACTCCGAACGACCCCCAGCCGCAGGCAACCAGCCCAGAGCCTCCCCGGCACTGGAGATGCTCCTGAGCTCACGCGTTTCACGGGAGCTTTGGGACACCCCTCATTCGCCAAGGCGTAACCACAGGGCCGGGCTGCAAACCCTGTATCTGCTATCAATAACATCCTGTTCGCCATTTGAAGGAAATCTTTATGATTGGTTTGGGTATTTCCTTACTTACAAGAAACATGATGGTGAAACTGAAGACCCATTGAGTTGAGAAGAGCTTCAGATCCACTTTCCCCAAGTAATAGCAGCAGCACTGAGAAACATGAAAGATAAGTTTACAAATTTTTCAAGCAATCAATTTTCATTCAACATTTGTGTAATTTACCAAAAAGAATTTGACTTTCTGTTAACCCTAACCTGTCTTCCACGCAAAGGAGTAAAATACTTTAAAATCTTGATGGCTTGGTTACACCTCCTCCATCCTCAAATGAGCAGGAAGCTGAAATCCAATGGATACATCTAGATACAACTGCAAACACTCTAGATAGATAGAGACTACTGCTGCAACAAATTTGTTTAAGGGCTCAGAAAGATGTTTAGGGGCGTCACAGAAACACCAGTATGAGCATCACATATGCATGACTGATAATTGTCTTCTACAAAAGGACCAGATATAAAGTGCTGCTGCCTGATCATGCAGTGTGTTCAGTGAAGTGGGGGGGAAAAAGACATCACAATTCTCTTACAGTTTTCCCAAGAAATACACATTAAAACTAAGTAGCTCCATAAACAGCAGAGACAATCACATCCAGTCTCCTATGGCTTTTGCCCTACGGAGGAACACCTGCATGGGCTCAGTGATGTCCACCTCAGAACACTCCTCTGAGTGGTCACCTATTTTCATGTCAATTGCAGAAAGTCAGTATTTTCAGGATCTTTGTCTATACCTTCCCAACAAATTGCCTGAACCTGAACAATCAGCTCAAAGTTTAACAGGACACAGCTAATGGGCACATAGGTTTGGCCACACAATTCCTTCACCATCACTGGTCCTGCAGCAGACAGACAGTGCAAATCTGTGCATTTTTCTTTAGGGGAAAAAAAAAAAATCTTCAAAAGGTTCAAAACCACCTCTTTTTCATGGCCAGTTTTCTGAAATTCACACATTGAAAAATGAACCCTCAGGCCAAACTTTTGGCACCAAGCATCAGCCCAAAGCAAATTTTTAGTGGCAGAGTTAAGAAGGAAGAAAGCATGCTCTGAAAGCAGTGATGAAAGACATGCTCCTTAAGGCCCTGTGTGGTTTTCTAATGTAAAAACAAACAAACAAAAAAACCTCCCAGCAACCCACACTGACCATAGGCTTGGCACATTTTGAAGTATCTATGAGCTGTTTTTAATATGCAGTTTACCTTGGAGGAAGCAGTTGTAAAAAAGAAACTGAGTCACGTCCTCACATATTAGAAGAAGCAGCTGGGAGGCAAAATTCCTCTGGAGATGCCTTGACACCAAGGCATTGCCCTGGCCACAAAGAGAAGACATGAGGCTGGTTCAGAAATTTGCAGTGGTGTTAAGGATGAGAGAAAGGTAAATTTAACTTCTAAAGGCTCTCACTCCTCCTACAAGTTCAGTGTATCACACACAAGCCAAGCACCCTGTGTGCACAAACTAAGGGCTGCACTAAGATCAATAAGGCAAGAAACTTCCCGCACACCCATCCAAAGCTAGAATTAGTAGCACTTTCAGGGGACTTATGACAGAAAATGTGATGTATTCCTCTATACAGTGACTGGGATGAGTCAGCCCCTCTCTTGGCAGCTTATTGTAGTTGCCTCCTACTACAAATGGGAAGACACACTTTAGCTTCAACTTTACTTGTGTTTTACACAAACAGAGCATTTCACTTTATTACTGGAAATAACTGGTATGAAAATACAGTCACCTAAGCAAGTTAATTAAATGAACGCTTGACATTAAGGGAAAGGAGCAATGTGTTCCCTGCATCTGCAAACTCTTGGTGTCTGCCATCACACACCCTGTGTATATCATCTCCTCTGAGGAAGACTGGGAGATGTATGGATGGGAACTTCTGTAAATATTTCAGAAGATGTAGTAAAAAAGGATTTTGTTATTCTTTCCCTAAATTAACAGAAAATTTACCCAGCTGAGAAAACAGGTTGATTGATGGGATTATCCAAATCTGAAATTACAGTGATTTTCCCCTTTTGGACATTTTTGCTGGTCTGAGTGCTTAAAATCCAAACTGTCTGTCAAGCTGGTATGCAAGTCTGTGGAAAGGATCTATAAAACCCATTACTTCTGGGTCCTAGGGAACAGCTCTTATTTGCTCAATAATATATACTTTTCAAAATCCTTTTTTTTTAATGTAAGTATCCACACAGAAACATTATGCATCCATTATTTCTTTCTAAAAAAACATTTGCTTACAAAGGGTTGGATCTCAGTTTATGCAAGTATAAGAGCTAGACTTTGATGACTGGTCCCTTCCAACTTAGGATATTCTGTGATTTTATAGAAAAAAATCTAGTGCTAATTAGCATCTTCTGAGTATTTTCTTTTGAACAGTGTCTCTTAGACATGGATGTTCTCAAAACTGCAAATGTCCTGAAAAAAATGTCAGTTCTTCATCAGTAGTTACCACTGTGAGATAATTTTTTTCCTAATCAAATCTACAATTGGAATTCAATTTAAATGGAACTTGCCCTGTTTAAGAGGGGTAAGTTGTACTGAAAATATGTGGTCAGGGTTTGTCAGTGCAACTACCTGGTTTATGCTTGATTCTCAATTCCACTGTTTACAAGTTCTAGTTCCCACGTTTTCAGGCTACCGTGTATTATGTCCAATTTTACAGTCTTGGTAGAGCACTGTTGTTTTATAGCTGGCAACATGGGCTTGTAGGTTTCACTGACTTCTTCAAATATTATGGTACAGCATAGATGGTGCTTGTGAACACCTAGCCAGTAAGGGACAGAAAGTTATGACCCAATTTCCCAGTAAGCCTGCAAGGATGATTCTTCTTGAAAAATTCAGTAGTTCAAGCCCAGTCTAACAAAAACAAAAACAAAACAAAAAACAAAACAAAACAAAACAAAACAAAAGCACTCTTGTGTCAACTGGGGGGTTGTTTGTTTTACACATCAATAAAAAAAATCAATACATCAAAATACTATTAATTTACATTAATAGAAAGTGGGGGAAAAAATCAAGAACTTCTTAGTAAAAGGTACCATTATTCTACCTTACTACATGGCAAAGGGAGACATTGAGAAGTTCACTATATTGCTGGGAACATTTCACTCCTAACAAAAAAGGGTTAACTAATTTGATTTGGGTTACAGAAGCCAAATGGCAGTCATAACAAAACCCAGAGAACAACAAAAATAAAAAACCCCTACAATCTCCCATTTTTCTCTACTCTTTCTTAATAATGGCTATATTGTGAAAGCACTTGGTCACACCAAGCGACCCCAACAGTGCAAGGTTCTATCTGGACACATCAAGAATGTTCATCTTTGCTGGCAGTCAGAAAGACAAGAAATAGCTGATGGATGAGAAAATAGAGAAGCCAAAGTACGAAGCAGTGAGATAGCATTACTATTTATAAAATGGATGTGCCTAACAAGAACAACAACAAAAAAAAAACAAACAGCTATATCAGGTCGAAGGAAAGAGCCACCTTTTTCAGGATTCTGTCTCTGACAGCAGCTGAAAAGAACATAGGAAACTCTTTTGGTATGTGCCCCCTCGAAATCTCCCACCATTCACCATTTGCAGGTCACAGTCTGCCTGAGGCAGATGTGGTTGCCAGGTGTTTAGCAACCCTTAACGCATTTCTCTTCTATGAACCTGTTCCACCAACCCTTGAACACATGTAAGACCCCGGCACTCTGTTCCACCTCCTAGCCACGTGGAATTGAATTGAAGATCCTGCTTTTGTGTGCTTTGAGCCTGGTCCCTGCCAACTTCAGCTGTTGGTGGTTTGTTCCTTGTATCAGGGTAAGCACTAAAGAATCAATTCCCAACCTCACACATTTCTGATTTTTTGTTCTTCATAGTAGAATGAACACCAAAGAATCAATATGCCATGTCCCCTACCCTCACCTTTACTTAGCAGCAGTGATAGCAAACTGATATTTTCTGGCAGTGGATCAATAGGTAGTTAAAACACTCGGAAAGAGATTTTCTGAGAAAGGATTTAGAAACCCATTCTAGAGACAAGGTTCTGCTAGTAATACCAAGTTTATATGAGAAGCAGTGCAGGGACCTGCATGGAGGGAGCAGCCAAACTTCTTTGCCCATCATAGACTTACTGTAATCCACGCAGTGTGTCCCCTCTTGCATTCCTTGTTAGCAATGAGAAAATGTGGTAGAGAACTTTCTACATGCCCCTCTGTCCCTTTTCTGGCTGCCTGGCAGCCCCACACTCACCATGGGAGCTTTTCAGCACCAGCCCTACACTCTGACTCCTTCTATTAAAAAAAAAAAATCCATAAAATGGTAGAACATGTAGGTTTATAATGATCTGTGGAAGCCAAGTTAAAAAATGTGATTTAAATACCTCACTTTAAAACAAAAAAGAGTATTTGCCAAGACCAAGGGTTTTCTTTCATCTTAAGTCAAGATTTTAATTTATCTATCTGTTCCTGCTCTCATGAAAGTCACTAATAAAATTCTCACTACTGGGCCAAATCAGACATTAATTGAGACAAGAGCAATGATTTCTCCTTAATCATCTAGTCAGCAATTAAAAAGGAACCCACCAACCAGTCAGTAAGTGCCAAAGAAATGTGAAAATTCTGTT